AGAAAAAATGAAAAGAAAGAAAGAAAGAAAAGGAAAAGAAAGAAAAAAAAAAGAAAAGAAGAAGGAAAAAGAAAGAAAGAAAAAAGAATAGAAAATGAAGAAAAAGAATGAAAATAAGAGAAAGAAAAAAAAAAATGAAAAAGAAAAAAGAAAGAAAGAATAGAAAAATGAAGAAAAAGAAAGAGCAAAGAAAAAGAAATGATAATAATAAAGAAAAGAAAGAAAGAAAAAAAAAAAAAAAGAAAAGAAAGAAAGATAGAGATAAAAAATAGAAAATGAAGAAGGGAGAATGGCAAAGAGCAAAGGAGAAAGAATGATAAAAGTGCAAGAAAGAAAAGAATAGAAAATCAATACGGAAGAAACGTAAGGAGCAAAGGTGAAATAAAAGAGAGAAAGGAGAAAACAAAGAAAGAAAGAAAAAAGAAAGAATATTTAATCAAGAAGGAAGAAAGGGTAAGTGCATAGATGAACAAATGAAATAAAGAAAGGAAGAAATAATAGAAAATTAAGACAGAAGAAAGGTAAAGATTAAAGGTGAAAGAAAAAGAAAGAAAGAAAAGTAAGAATAGAAAAGGAAGAAGGAAGAAAAATAACGGGCAATGGTGAATGAAAAAAAAAAAGAAAGAGAGAAACAAAGAAAGAATAGAAAATCAGGAATGTTAAAGCGCAAAGAAATTAAGCGAAAGAAAGAAAAAGAAGGAAAAAAAATAGAAAATTGAGACGGATAAAGGTAATAATCAAAGTTGAAAGAAAAATAAACAAATAAAGAAAGAAGCAATAATAGAATACGAAGAAAGAAAATGGTAAGGACCAAAGGTGAAAGAAAAAAAAGAAAGAATAGAAAACCAAGACGGAAGAAGAGTAATGAACAAAGTTGAACGAAAAATAAAAATAAAGAAAGAATAGAAAATGAAAATGGAAGAAATGTAATGAGCAATGGTGAAAAAGAAAAAGAAAGAAAGAAAAACTGTATATACAATATTAAGAAGAAATAAGTTAAAGAGCAATGGTGAAAGAAAAGAAACATGATTTAAAGAATATAAAATCAAGAAAGACGAAGGGTAAAGGGAAAATGTAAAAGAAAAATAAAGAATGGAAAATCAAGATGGAAGATAGAGCAAATATAAAAGAAAAAATAAGTAAGAAAGAAAGATTTGATAATCAAGAAGGAAGAAAGTGATGGATCAAAAGGGAAAGAAAAATAAATAAATAACGAAAGAAAGAACTAAATAAAGAAATAATAGAAAATCAAGACGGAAGAAAGGTAAAAGACAAAATTTAAAAGAAAGAGAAAGAAAGAAAGAGTGAATATAAAAAAAGCCGTAAAGAGCAATAGTGAAAGAAAAAAAGAAAAAAAAAAAAGAAATAAAGTATATAAAATTAAGAAAGTAGAAAGGTACAGAGCAAAGTTTAAAGAAAAAGAAGGAAAGAATATAATATGATCGAAGAAAGAGAAAGACAGAGGAGACAGAAAAAGAAAGAAAGAAGAGATAATCAAGAAGAAAGAAGGGAAAGAGCAATAGTTAAAAAAATAAAAAGGAAAAAAAAGGAAGAATTAATAGAAAAATCAAGAAGGAAGAAAGGTAAAAGAGGTGAAAGAAAAAGAAAGCAAAAAGAGAGAAAGAAAGAATAGAAAATTAAGAAGGAAGAAAGGTAAAGAGTAAAGGTGAAAGGAAAAAGAAAGAATATAGAAAAAAGAAGGAATAAGTAAAAGAACACATGTGAAAGAAAAAGAAAAAAGAAAAGAAAATGAAAAATGCAGAAAGGGAGAGATAAAAGGTTAAAACAAAACGAAAGAAATGATAGAAGATCAAGGAAGACGAAAAGTAAAGAGCAAAGGTGAAAGGAAAAAGAAAGAAAGAAAGAAGGAAAAAATAGGAAACTAAGGAGGAAGAAATGTTTTGACTAAAGGTAAAAGAAAAAGAAAGAAAGAATAGAAAATCAAGAAGGAAGAATGGCAAAGAGTAAAAGAAAAAGAAGGAGAAAAGTGAAAGAAAGAATCGAAAATCACTACAGAAGAAACCTAAGGAACAAAGGTGAAATAAAAGAAAGAAAGAAAGAAAAAAAAAAGAAAGAATAGTTAATCAAAAAAGGGAAACAGCAATGATGAAAAAATGAAATAAATAAAGAAATAAATACTAAAAAAATTAAAGAAGAAAGGTAAAAATCAAAGGTGAAAGAAAAAGAAAGAAAGAAAGAAAGATAGTGTAGAATAGAAAATCAAGAAGGGAGAAAAATAAAGAGCAATGGTGAAAGAAAGAGAAAGAAAGAAAGAAAGAGAGGAGCAAAGAAAGAATAGAAAGTGAAGAATGGTAAAGCACAAAGGTGAAATAAATGAAAGAAAGAAAAAAAAAGGCAAAACAGAAAAGGAAGAAAGGGAAAGAGCAAAGGTGTAAGAAGAAGAAATAAAGGAAGAAAAAACACATAATCTAGAAAGAAGACAGGTAAATATCAAAGATGAAAGAAAAAGAAAGAAATACTAGAGAATCAAGATAGAAGAAATGTATTAAAAAAGCTGAAATAGAAAGAAAGAGAGAAATAAAGAAATAATAAAGAGAAAACGGAATAAAAGTAAGGAAGAAAGACGAAAGAAAAAGAACGAAACAAAGAAAGAAAGAATAGAAAATCAAGAATGGAGAACTCTTAAGACCAAAGATGGGAGAAGAAAGAAAGAAAGACAGAAAGAAAGAAAGAAAGATAGAAAGAAAGAAAGAAAATCAAGAGGGAATAAAGTTAAAGAGCAGAGGTGGAAAAAAAGAAAGAAAGGTAGAAAAAATGAAGAGGCAATCTTGAAGGAAGAAAGGTAAATAGCAAAAGTGAAAGAAAAAGAACGAAAAAATACAAAATGAAAACATAAGAAATGTGATGACTAAAGTTGATAAATAAAAAAAAGAAAGAAAGAAAAAAAAGAATACAAAATCAAAACGGAAGAAATTTAATAAGCAAAGGTGAAAAAAAAGAAAGGAAGAATAGAAAACGAAGAAGGAAGAAAGAAAAGAGCACAGGTGAAAGAAAAATAAAGGAAGAAAAAAGAAATTAAGAAGGAATAGAAAATCAAGACGCAAAAATGTAAAGAGCAATGGGGAAAGGAAAAAGAAAGAAAGAAAGAATAGGAAATAAAGAAGGAAGAACGTTAAGGAAGAAATGTGAAGGAAGAAGAAATAAAGAAAGAACGAAAGAAAGAAATAATAGAAAAGTCAAGACTGAAAAAAAAGTCAAGAGCAAAGCCGAAATAAAAAGAAAGAAAGAAAGAAAGAAAGAAAGAAAGAAAGAATGAAAGGCTAGAAAATCAGTGTGATAGAAAAAGAAAATAATATAAGATTCATAAGGATGATAGATAGAGAGCAAATGTGAAAGAAGAAAGGAAGAAAGAAAGAAAGAAAGGAAGAAAGAAAGAAAGGATCAAAGCAAGAATAGAAAATAAACGAAATATGAAAGAAGACAGAAAAAAAGAGAGAGAATGAAATAGACGGAGTGAGTAAGACATAAACGTGAGAGAAAGACGGAAAGGGTCAGACAACGAAAGAACAAGAAAAGCAAGAAACCAAAAATAGAAAAGGTAAAAAGGAAAAAAGAAAGAGAGAGAAAGAAAGACAGAAAGATGAGAAGAAGAAAGTAACAATGCAAAAAAAGCAAAATAGAAAGGAAGAAAGATAGAAAGAGAGAAGGGCGAGTAGAGAAATAGAGAAATAAAGAAAAAAAGCAACAATAGAAAAATAAGGAGGAGATATAAAGAGAAAGAAAGATTAGAAAATGACAAATAGAAGAAAGAGAGGGTAGAATAGAAAAGATAAAGAAAGAAGAAAGTGAGAGAGACAGAAAAAAGTTAGACAAAATGGGAAAAGAAAGAAAGAAAGAAAGAAAGAAAGAAAGAAAGAAAGAAAGAAAGAAATTAACAAAAGAAAAAGCTTAAAGACAGAAAGGAAATAATAAAAATGAAAACAAGAGAAAGACAGAAATTATTCCCTCAAGTAACAATTTTCACAAAAGTATGGCCGTAAAAGAAGAAAAAAAAAACACACAGAGAGGGAAATATCAGTAAAATGAAAGCAAAAGTAAAATATTACGAAAGAAAAAAGACAAAGAAAGAAAGAATAAAAGACAGAATACGAAATGAAATAAAAAAAAAAACCCAAAGAAAGAAATCCTTTTGAGTCCTTGTTATGCAACAATTGGAATAAAAAAAGGGAAATAATATAAGAATCCTGATAACGTGAAGTTCATGAATTCAAAGAGAAAATTCTCCCTTTCAAACACCTCCCCCCCAAAAAAAAATCAACTAGAAATGAACTAAAACTATTCTCAAAGGGAAAATAAATTAATAAATAAAAATAAAGAAGTGCTGGGGGAAAAAAAAAGAGCAAATGCACCTAAGAAACGAAGAAAAAAAATAAGACAATATAAGAAGAGGTGAAAATAAAGAAGCAGCAGGAATGACAAATCCAGCCAGATTCCGCTTCGGTGTAGCAGAGAGAAAGGTGTATTAAAACCGCGCATCGCATGACATGTATTCGAAGAAAAGTGACATCATAGGCGGGTGGCTGTGCGGGCGGTACGGATAGGGAAATTAGAACGGTGGAATTTTCAATGTTATGCTGATATAAGTGAACAGATTCCCCTTCTTACCGATAGTAGATCTGTCAAAAGAAGATCTCTTGAAAGGGGTTTTTGTTCGCTCTGGGGGAAAATTGATGTTTTAAACTGATTTGACATCAACGTTGTTCTTCTTTCAACGAAGTATATTTACGGTAATCTGCTATTCAACATTAAAAAAAACCTTCAAACGAAAAGTGTAACAACATCAAAGGTATATATATATATATATATATATATATATATGTGTGTGTGTGTGTGTGTGTGTGTGTGTGTGTGAGAGAGAGAAGAGAAAGAAAGAGAGAAGAAAGAAGAGAAAGAAAGAGAGATAATAGAGAAAAGAGATTAAGATTGAGAAAGACTATTTTTAAAGATTTGAAAGAGATTACACTAGAATAATTATGCTTTTAACTGATGGAGGAAAGAAAGAAAGAAAGAAAGAAATAAAGAAAGAAAAAAGAAAGATAGAAAGTAAAAAAAGGGATTGAAATGTGTGAACAGAAATGAAAGAAAGAAAGGAAAAAAATAAAGAAAGAAAGAAAAGAAAGAAAGGGATTATGAAAGAAAAAAAGAAAACAGGAGGGAATGAAAGAATCTAAGAATCAAATAAATAAGTAAAGAAAGAAAGAAAGAAAGAAAGAAAGAAAGAAAGAAAGGATCAAAGCAAGAAAAGGGGATACCTAGAAAAATAAAGAAGGAGAGAAAAAACCGATGAGAAAAACTGAAAGAAAGAAAGAAAGAAAGAAAGAAAGAAAAGAAAGAAAAAAGCAAACGAACAAAGAAAGTATGGAAAAGAATAAGGGATTATAAATAAATAAAGAAAGAGTGAGAGAGAAGAAAGAAAGAAAGAAAGAAAAAAGCAAACGAAATCATAAAAAGAATAGAAATAAAGATAAGAGATAAAAATGAAAATAATAAAGAGAGTATTGATAATCAAAAAACTTAATAGGACAGAAGGTAATATCAGGTGGTGAGGAAGAAAAATTAGTAATTGAAAAAAAAAGAAAGAAAAAAGAAAGAAATTGTAATAAAAAGTATAAGAAAAATGAATTGAAAAAAAAAGGCAAAGAGCAAAGGTGAAAGGAAAAAGAAAGAATATAGAAAAAAGAAGGAAAAAGTTAAAGAGCATATGTGAAAGAAAAATAAAAAAGAAAGAAAAGAAAATGAAGAATACAGAAAGGGAGAGATCAAAGGTGAAAACAAAACGAAATAAATGAATTGAAAAAAGAAGCAAATAGAAATGAAAGAAAGAAAAAAAAGAAAGAAATCAAAAGAATACTGAGAATTAAAAAGATAATAAGATATAAAATAATATCAGCTGAAGAGAAAGAAAAATGCTAATTGATAAAGAAAGAAGCAAGCCAAAAATAAACAAAGGAAGTAAGAAAGAAATTGCGACAGAAATAATTGAAAAGAAAGAAAGTTGTAATAGAAAGTAAAAGAAATATGAAAGAAAAAGAAAGAAAAAAAGGAAAAGAAATTTAACAGCTAAAAATAAAGAAAAAATGTCATCTGAAAAAGAAATAAATAAACAATATTAAAAGAAAATAAAGTAAGAAAGAAAGTAAGAAAGAAATAACTAAATAAATAAATATACTGAGAAAAAGAGTATGGAAAGAAAAATCGATGAGAAAAATTAGAAAACAGAAAGAAAGAAAGAACAAAAAAAAGAAAGAAAAGAAGAAAGAAAGAAGAAAAAATGAAAGAAAGAATGAAAACTGAAAGAAAGAAAGAAAGAAGGAAAGAAAGAAAGAATGAAAGAAAGAAGGAAAGAAAGAAAGAAAGAAAGAAAGAAAGAAAGAAAGAATAATGTTTAATGAAAGAAAGTCGGAAATAAAAAAAAGAAAAAAATAATAAATAGAATACAATAAATAGAAGAGAAAAGCAAATAACTGAATGCGGCCAATAAAATATATAAAAAAAAGAAACGAAGAAGAAAAAAGAAAGAAAGTGAAATAAAGTGAAAAACGAAAGAAAGAAAGAAAGAAAGAAGCCAACACACAAGAGAAACAAAAGACAAGAATGAATAGAGAATAAGACATGTAAAGAATATCTGATGAAAACAAAGAAGAGAGATTCAGGAAAAACACTTGAGAAACTGAAGAAACAACTAAAGCAATTGTAACCGCGAAATATACGTGACATTTGTTTTTCGAATAAACGAGGCGGGAAATTTCGATTAAGAAAAAAACATGGCTGAAAGATTTTCAATACTTCAATTAATATATCTGCAAGAAACTGAAACACAAGCAAAAGTGCACACATTTCTGTTACGCACCATTTCTGTTTTTCTATCTACCATTCCCTTTCACTTAAATGGTCGTTTGCCATTTGTTTCTCCTCACGACGGAGGCTACCATGGCTCTCAAGAATTTCTTATCCTTCGTAGCTTTAAATAAATATTCTCTGTTTAAAATTTATCCCATAACGTATTCCGTCATCAATTTAATAAAGCTCATTTCTTAGGTTATGCGTTGTTTTCCCGAGTGCCTCTTGCCTTCCATCTGTCCTGTGGGTATCTGATTTTCCAAGCAGTTTTTTTTTCATTATATGTCATCGAAAGTTCAACGCTTCTTCCTGATGTCAAGTATAAGTGACCATTCTGTTTGCATTTTCTCTAAAACTTCGTCGTTGCTCTCATGTTCGGCTAATGGTTTCGACAATGTCCTTCTGTAATATCATATGTCTGTTGCTTCAAGTCTCTTCTTCATCTCTGAGGAGATTGTCCAGCATTCACTGCCATATCGGAGAACTGATATCACGTAACAGTTCAGTACTCTTTTCTCATTATGGAGGCACGGTGGAGAAATGGATAGCGGCTCGAAGTGAGGAATCGGAAAGACGAATTCGAATTCCAGTCGAACCCATTGCATTCACTTTCGTGCTAATATCACTGGGAATGGTGTGAATACTCTTCTTCTCCACCCAGCTATGAGTAAATAGCTGGAGAGGCCGCGTTCTATAGCCTTGAATATCTACTGGTCCACCGCAGAAAAAAAAGGCAATCTACTGTGATGGAAAAAAAAACTGCCTCGTCAGTCATGTATCGAAAGATACATGATCGCCTAAGCGCGTATCACTTATGGCACATAACTGACTGACTTTTTTCTCTGTTTGTAACAAAATTTTCCTGTTTCTTAATACTCTGCTTAGCTTTTGGAATGCGTCTTTGGCTATTCCAATGTTGCTGGGGATTTCAGTGCTGCAACATACGGCCTTTCTTACAAGAATTCCCAGATATTTAAATTGTTTTAGTGATATATTTTGGTATCTTCAAAATGTACTTTCCGTGTAGGGCTCATGCTTTAGTTCAGAAAAATCCTGTCTTCTTGGAATTGATACTTAGTCCTTTCTTCTCGCGTTCCATTGTAGATTGGAGAATTTGTAGATATCTTTTTGTGTCTGCTTTTAACTTTGGCTCATTTGCATATCTTATGCAGTTAAAATTGTGGCAACTGATCATGAATAATGGTAAGATATCTAATTCTCTCAGGAACGCCTCACTGTATATATAGAATAAGTCCGGGGAGGAGATGCACCCATATCTTAGACCCGTTACTATTTCTATATATATATATATATATATATATATATATATATATATATATACTAAACTTCATTATTTATCTGTATGCAGGCGCTTTTCAGGCAGTATCGGTTCTTGATTATTATAATATCCTTCACAAATAAGTAAAGGTCAGTAAGAAGTTCGAAGAGTTCGTTGCGACCAATTTATCAAACGTTTTTAATCGATAAAAAAACATGTACGCATCCTTTTGTGTTTCTGTTACGGTTTCTGATATCATTCTGAGCATAAATATCGCTCTCCTTGCGCCTGGGTCTTTAACGAACGCACACTGTTCTTGTCCTATTTCCGGTCTGATTCTGCTGTGACCATTTTTCATCACTATTCGGATGGTTTACTATTTAGCACATTTGGAATCCTGCTCAGTGGTTACTACTGTACTGTACTGATGCGGCATTCACCCTGGGCGGATTGAGCCGGCTTCTTCCTGTTATGAGAAGAAGATTCTTGGGATAAATTACAGAAGTAGGGTACCCAGGCCTACTCGAATAACGTTCTTGCTTGCCGCGGGGTTCCCACAGACGCAGAGACAGGAACGACCAGAAGCCGCCGGTTACCGATGCAGACGCTCCTTGGATTTTCACCAGAGCCCTTGTTAGCCGGCGTGTGTGTCAGACCTGTCCGCCTTGGGTGGTCCTACCAGGAACGAAGTTCCGGGCGGCATAGCTCTGACACTACCGTTTACACCCACCCCCATCGACTGTGAGGTAAGGGTTGGACTTTGGGGGCTTACAGTAGTGTTCCCAAGCGGTTCCCCATCTAAGTACTGACCTGGCTCTACGATGCTTAACTTCGGTGATCGAACGAGAACCGGTGTTTTCAGCGTTGATTTGACCACCGTCAGTGGTTATGACATCGTAAACTGAAAAGAGCAGATAATAATCATCTTAAATTCTCATACATAAAAGTTCTGCTGTATTCAGGTGTGAAAGTTGTCATTATCAGAGAAGAAGAAAAAATGAACAAGAAATCAAAGAAAAAAAAAAGAATATATTTGATGGCAGAACGGGCCACAGGTGATATAACAGAAAGGCGACATTTATTATGATCTACAGATGACAGGAAATTGTAGAGAGCCATAATCGCCTACGTCTTGAAGGAAGACGACACGAAGAAGAGAAGAAGAAGAAGAAAAAGAAGGAGAATAAGAAGGAGCATGCTATCTGTATGGCAGATCAGGGTTTAGGAGATATAACAGATAGATAACATTTATTATGAGCTACAGAAGGCGGGAAATTGTGGAGAGCCATGGTCATCTACGTCCTGAAAACAGACGGTACATAGAAGAAGAAGAAGAAGAAGAAAGCGAAAGAAAATTTTTTTTATTAAAAGCTAAAAAAGACAGGAAATTGTGGAGAGCCATAGTCGTCTGCGTCGTGATGGTAAACGGCACATAGAAGAAGAAGAAGAAGAAGAAGAAGAACATGCATAAATGTATGACATGTAGGTATAAAAAAAAACCATTTTATTAAGCGATACAAAAGATCGGAAATTGTGGAGAGCCACGGTCGTCTATGTCCTGAAGTTAGACGGTACATAGAAGAAGAAGAAGAAGAAGAAGAAGAAGAAGAAGAAGAAGAAGAAAAGAGCATCCATAAATTGAGGGCAGAACAGGATTAAGGCAATATAAGAAAAAACAAAACTTTTATTAAGCGCTACAGAAGACAGGAAATAGTGGAGAGCCATTACCGTCTAATTCCTGAAAGACAGACGGTACATAGAAGAAGAAGTAGAAGAAAAAGAAGAAGAAAAGAAGGAGCATCCATAAATGGATGGTAGAACAGGGTTTAGGCGATATAAGAGAAAAACAAACATTATAAGGAAGTTATTGGAGAGCCATGGTTGTCCAAGTCGTGGTCGTAGACAGCACATAGAAGAAGAAGAAGAAGAAGAAGAAGAAGAAGAAGAAAGCATATATGGATGGCAGAACAGGCTTTAGGAGGTAAAACAGAAAACAAAATTTATTAAGTGCTACAGAAGACAGGAAATGTGGAGAGCAATGGCCGTCTACGTCCCGAAGACAGACAGCACATAGAAGAAGAAGAAGAAGAAGAAGAAGAAGAAGAAGAAGAAGAAGAAGAAGAAGATGGATCATGCTTAAATGGATGGCAGAACAGGTATAACAGAAAAACATTTATTAAAAGCTACGGAAGACAGGAAATTGTGGAGAGCCATGATCACCAACATCCTGAAGGTAGACAGCACATAGAAGAAGAGGAAGAAAAAGCAGGAGGAGGAGGAGGAAGAGCATACCTAAATGGGTCGCAGTACAGTGTTTAGGAGGCATAAGAAGGATACCATTTCTCATAGAATGTGTGAGACACGAAATAACAAATAGAAATCTTACGATATGTCGAAGGCCTTTGACAAAATGTGGAAAAAGGTTTTCCTACTCAAGCTCACGAGCTATGGAATAACTGGAAGTGTCTTCTCAATAATAAAGTCCTTCCTAACGGGTAAGTCCCTAAAGGTAGTATAGGGGACCCGGGTAGCATGCAGTGCTGGCCTACGAAAAGGTGGCCTTGTGCCAGAAAAAACACTACTTACGACTACCGAATCCACTAATAAAGTAGAAAAAAATAAAAAAGGATAGATTAAAAATGACTGTATTCAACACGTGCATCAAAGGAAAAAAAAATAAATAGGTAGCCAGGAGTAACGACAAAAACGAGTCTGGGGGAAGACAAATATAAAACTTTATTTTAATAACAAATATTTGGTCTCACCCAGTGGAGACCATCAGGAAAGCTAAGGACTGTTCTTATCCAGTAGGCAGATTGTATAATGTAGTGACTAGTAGAATGTTAATGTTCCGCGCCAAAACAAAATCAAAATGGCTAAGGCGGGAAAAGTTTCTTCAGAAAAGGTTCCGGAATATAGTCTTCTTGTACAAAAGGTGCATGCATACACAACAAGGAAAAATACTCATGCGAGATTTTATAATGTGTGTGTAATGTTATCTTTTTTTTAAACTGGTTCGTAAAGGTTAGAAATCAAAAGAGGTGTATGAAAAGTTCATCAATCTTCAGTGAAGAAAAACTCTACGTTCCTTGGTAGTGAACGGAGGAAAGTTCGAACAAGTTGTTCGCTGAAGGACAAGGAATTAGTCTTAAAAGTGTGATGACGACCGCGTCGTAGACTCTGGTAGTGAACGGAGGAAAGTTCGAACAAGTTGTTTGCATCAAGACGAGGAATTAGTCTTGGAAAGGCGTGGTGACGACAGTGTCGTAGACTCTGGTAGAAAATGGAGGAAGGTTCAAACATGTTGTTCACTTCAAGACGAGGAATTAGTCTTGGAAAAGTGTGATGACGACAGTGTCGTAGACTCTACGTTCTCTAGTAGAAAAACGGAGGACAGTTCAAACAAGTTGTTTGAAGAAAAGTTGTAGTCACACGACATGTTGAAGTTTTTGGTTAGTTAAGATATTCCGGCCCGCGTATGGGTCAGGGGCAGGGAATAAATGAGTCGACCTTCTAGTTTGAAAATCAGGCAGCGACTGACTTGAAAAACGAAGTTTGTCAGTGACGTCAGAGAGTGCGCTGGAAAACTTCAAATTCCGTTCTAGACGGTATCAGGAGCAGTCAGCAACCTTGTCGGCAACAAACAGGCTGGTTTACTGCTATGTCTAGCCGAAAGTGAAAAGAAGGGGTGCAATATAGGTGGAATCCATGCACGATTCCACAGTAGTTGTTAACGGACAGTCCTCCGGGGCCCTAGCAATTCCCGCAGGCGCCCCCAGAGGGTAGCTTCTCGAGCCAATGCACTTATTACTTTACATAAATGATCCGCCTAAAATTATACTCCCCTTATTTTTCATATCTACGCTGATGGTACAAAGACACAGGGTTGCACTTCGACTATTCTAGAGATTGGCAGCTCATTTCTCATTTGATTTAGCTCTGACGTGGAACAAAAACCCGTCTCGATAGAATACAAAAGCGTTTCCAAATCCCTGTGGGTAACGAAGTGTTTTCCACCCCGAAATCTCTTTTTCGCAGAAAAAAAACGTCACAAAAATCTCGCTACCCTATCGCTATTTCCATGAGAAGTTTTCAGACGAACTACATTCGTTAGTGCTACCCCAGTTCTTTCACAGCTACGACCCACCATGCTACGCACATTGAAGCGAACCACCCCCATTCCCTTCCTATTCCATTGGTGATTAGTAAGTTCTGCGCTAACATACCTGGGTCGGAGCTGCGCACTCCTCCCTTGCCAGCTTTGACAGAGTTCAAAAGTGTTTATGCAACCCTGTGGACGATGAATCATTTTCAACCCTACATTACTGTTGACATATTTAGGCATGAGATGCTCTGTCTTCATTTTCCTGTCTCCATAGAGTCGGAAAGCGTCTCGGTGTCCTTGTTGCTGACAAATTATTTTTCACTCTGTAATCCCTTTCTTGTAGACGTCGCAAATCTCTCACTGCTCTCTGGAGAGTGTTGAGATGAATTACATTCCTTAGTGCCATCATTTCTAACCTCTACGGTGAAGAACCGCACTGCCACGCAAATTCCAATGGTGAGAATTAAGTTCCAATCGAACAACCTCTTCCCAAGAACCGATGCTTTGTGGAACTAACTCACTATAGGATGCTTCCCCGATCACTACAATCTTAAACTACTGTTGTTGGTAGAGTTCAAGTGATGTGGCTTCTGCTATTTGGTACAGTTCTTTGCTTGTGATTATTCTGAAAGAATGTTTTGATTTTAAAGAAGACCGTGAAAAATATTAAAGAATAACTAGAATGTTTTTGACAATGCCAAACCAAGTAGAATTTTACAATCTTTAAAAGGGGTTATACCTTTTTTTAAAATAAAGTTTTCATGTTTATTAAATACAGTGTTTTTAAATAAAGTTTTCAAATCATTTACCAAGATCCACCTTTTCTAAAACATCCTAGCATTTCTATGTGCCCCAAGGCAAGTCTCATCAATGCCAATGCGGGCACACCAGTGCCAGATATGGCCCCTAACAAAAACCGTGGAGATGAAATGCCTGAGGAAAGCAGTGAACTAGATCAGGCAAGATAAGATCAGTAAAGAGGCAATAAAAGACATGGTAGGAGCAATACCAATCGTACAACACATCGGACGACAGAGGATCAAGTGGTCCGGACACTTCACTTGTATGCCTATCAATCAACCAGCCCTACGAGCATACACCCACAGGTACCCTGGCCGGAGAGCGATAGGCTGACCAAGAAGACGCTGTAGTGACTCAGTGGATGACACACATAGAGTCCACGAAATATATCTTCTCAAGGCCATTCGCCTTACCGCCGACAGACGACTGTGTCTCCCGCGACGTCTAACAGCACAGGCGGAAGGAAAAACTAAACAAACATGCACATAATTTTGATATGCAGTGTGTGGTAGAAATTATCTCCCACATAATGGTAAAACATTGTTGAGATGAAGATACCATTGAATCTAATGTTTTACCACTACGTGGTAGCAGGACCGGTGCGTCTTACTCCCTAAACCTGGGGTGGCACCATTTTGGGGGGCTACATCAACATCAAACCTCCGAGTGACCCTTCCGTCGTTTCTCGCCGTAGATCATACTAAAAAAAGAAAACTTAATCCGTCGTAACCAAGTTCGTTAAGATTGAAGCACGCTTTGACTGTCCGGGTCACATTATGCGGTCCAGGTGTTCTTTGAGGATAGTCCCAAAACATCCCCGCGTCCTTGTGGGTGATGAATAATTCTTCACCCCGCAATCCCTTTCTCACAGACGAAACATCGCAAGCTTCTCGCTGCTTCATCGCTATTTCCATAGAAAGTGTTCAAATGAACTACATTCTTTAATCCCAACGATTTTAAACACGGCTAAGAACCGCCATGTCACACATATTATGGCTAAGAACGCTCATTCTCTTCGTATTCCATTTGTGAGATGTAAGTTCTACTCGAACAGTTTCTTCACACGAACTGCATCCCAAGTGGATACTTCTTCGATTACTAAATTCTTAACCTATTCAGCTTTAGTATTCTCCGTTTTTTTCCCCATACATCCATATAAACTGTGCCTTTTAATTTATAACCTTCTACTTCGAGTGGGTCTTGGGACTTGTACAGGGTGAATATCCTTGTAAAATCATAGTGAGATAATACGATAGATATGAACAGAATGAATTCAGTAAATAGACGAGGAGACTGAAACAGATATGAACAGAATAAGATAGATATGTACAAAAGTATATATATATATATATATATATATATATAATATATATATATATATATATTATAATCAATGATATACTGATTAACTACACTTTCATATCTTTTAGATTCATTTACATTCTCTGGAATATAAATGTGTAGAAACTACAGCGACCACAAAGTGAGGGATCATTCTATATATTGCTTGCAATATAGAATTGATCCCCCACTTTATGTTCACATTATAATTCATTGTTTGTTAATTAAATTTTGATCATCCATTGCTAAGAATCTTTGTTCAGTGTCGTGCTTGACAATTTTTTTTGCCAGAATCTATCTTACATATCTATAAGTTTACCATTCGTCCATGCTTAGAATATTGCTGCCCCATTTACTGGCCCTGATCTGGCAGCTCGGATTTAGTCGC